CGTCTCGTGTCAGAGTGCGAGAAGCTTGCGACCACGCCAGAGAGTCAAGTGTTATCGAGGCTCGAGGAAGAGATTCATGTCCAAGAAGAGCTCAACAGAGAGCTGAAAGGAAAGGTAGACGAGCTGCAAGATACGCATTTCAGTGACATGGGTGAAATAGTTTATCTGCGATGGATGAATGCTTGTCTCCGGTTCGAACTGCAAGACTACGAGCCCCCAGCCGGGAAGGTAAGTGCGGCGACGCTGAGCAGATCGCGAAGTCCACGGTCTTGGGAGATTGCGCGAGCGACTCTCCTGGAGTATGCTGGCCCACAGTTTGTGCGGCGCAGAGCCCGCGAAGTCGCAGAAAGGAGGAAGAACTCTCCCAATTCATCGCTCATGCCCGGGACCCCCGAACGGGAAGAGCCTCATCGTGATCGTCTGGGGAACGTGAAACAGAAGAGCCGCAGAAAGTTTATCGGCCGGTTAAGACTCTGGGGAAGCGGTGGAAGAGAAGGTGCGAAAGGGAGCAGCGAGGTGGTTGCCAGTGGTCATTCGAGTTCCTCCCCGACGCATCATGCAATCTATGGAGGATCTATGTCGCCGGGTGTTTCCGAAGCTGACGGTGCAGCGGATGGGGAGGCGCTTGGGGACCTTTACAGTCCGGTTTCTTCAAGCGGTTCTCTCACAACCCCTGCGAGTGGCAGGAGTGATGAGCTGTCGATCAACAGCAGAGAGATCAGCTTTGTTGCAGCGTATAAAGCCCTGTCAAAGGCCATGGCCGGATCGGATGTCGACAAGAAGTATCCCCCATTCAACAGAGCGCAGCAGATGGCTAATATGTGGGGAACCCCAGTGAGTACGATAAGCGGCGAGGATGACGATCGGATCACGGAGGGTGGTGACGACGAAAGCAAGGAGATGGAGATTGAGTCAGAACCTGACATGCAGCCCCTTACCTTTGAGGAGAGGGAAAGAGAATCGTACCCGCAGCCTGTCAAAATAGGGACGAAAAGCTCAGCTATTGTGCCGCGGCCAGATGGAATCCGTGCCATGGAATCGTCACCAAACAGTGTCGAAAGAAAGGGGGTTACTACGTGGAAACCGATGAGGGAAAAGAGACGGCCGACGACGAGGATGTCTGTGAAAGGGAGACCGCAGACTGAAGGTACGGAGGCTGGGGGCCAAGATTTGGCAGTGAATTCCGGCAGGAAACCGATTGGAAATGAGGCAAAGGAAGGAGCAGAGCCGAGAACCAAAAAGCCGCTGCGTATCGCTACCGCCCCACCAAAACCGTCTGTGCGCCAGCCGCCGACCCCCCAACCTAACGGAATCCGTGCATCTAGCGGAAGTGGTGTTCCGCTGCCGCCACCCGGTCCGACATCTGGACCAGGGGGAATACCGATGCCACCTCCTCTGGCACCACCACCTCCTCCTGGCGCTTTGTTGGGCTTCGGTCTAAAGATGGCCGGCGGCGGAATAGGCCCAGCGACTACAGATCTACAGGCCCTGAGGAGAACTCCTCAGGTGATTGAGCTCTATCAGACTCTGATGAAGAGGGATACGAAAAAGGAGGGTCTTGCCTTGGCAGCGGGGGTTGAGACGGCGGCTATAGAGCGGAGGGGAGAAATGATCATCGAGTTGGAACGTCGGTCGTCGCATGTGAAAGCCGTCATGACGGACGTGGAGGTGCAGAGGGATTTCATCAACGACCTGGCGAGGGAAATACGCTCCTGTGCCTTTTCGGTGATCGAGGATGTTGTGGAGTTTGTCAAGTGGATGGACGAAGAACTGTCCTTCCTGGTTGATGAACGAGCTGTTCTCAAGCACTTTGACAACTGGCCGGAAATCAAGGCGGATGCACTCAGAGAGGCCGCGTTCGACTTCAAAGGGTTGGCGGATCTTGAAACCGAGGTTTTGTCGCTCGACGAAAACGAACCGTCCTTGTCGAGCGAAGATCTATGGCGAAAGATGCTGAAACTGCTGGACAGAATGGAGACCTGCGTGTACGCTTTGCTCAGGAAGAGAGAGACCACCTTACCGAGGTTCGTGGAGCTGCAAATTCCTACGTCGTGGATGCAAGATTCTGGGATGATTCGCAATCTGAAGCGCGCTGCATCTAAGGTGGCGAGGGTGTATCTGCGTAGAGTGAACGGCGAGATTTCAGTTTTAGAGAAACCGGTCGACGATTACTATGACGATCCTCGCGAAGCACTCCTCTTGCAAGGCATCCGCTTCGCCTTCAGAGCGCACCAGTTTGCCGGAGGGTTCGATGCGGCGACCATGGAGGTTTTCCGGGAACTTAGCGGATTCGTGGAAACCATCATGCAGGAATCTTCGGCCGCCAAGTCATAGTCCTATAGACTGTAGGAGTCAAGGCAACATTCATGATCTGCAGCATCTCCTCCCTTCGTGATTGCATGCGTGCCTGAGTGGCGCCCATGGAGGTTTTCCGGGAGCTTGGCTCTGAGTTGCGGAAACCCACCGTCGTCATGCATGTGCATGAATCTTCTTCCGCCACCATGAAGTGACAGAGGAGGAGGAATCACTGTGCCATA